GCTGAAAGTCGTAAAAGGTTTGACAGCTGATTTGTGCCTGAGAAGGTAGAGAAACATGCAAACAGCATTTGTAGGCTATGATGTGTCTTTCATGAACAGAGGTTTACAGCGCGTCTCCTCGGAGGGCTAGCAAACAGATGTCAGAGGCAAAACCACTCTGATCCTGCTAGGATGTCATGCTAATTTATATTAGCTTTCACAGGACAGGAAAGAAATATAAATTACTAACAAAAGAGGAGGGATTCAAATGTCAGCTTTTGCTTTAGAAATACTAAAAGCTGTCAGGATCTGTGTGCTGCGTGAGGCGGAGCCGGGGTCAGGAAGCCGTTCAGGTCAGCAGGTGCGCCTGCCTTTGATCTTTGCCTCCATTTGCCAGAGAGCATTAATGATGGACTCGCGGTGACCCATTTCAACAACGCACATAAGTCACGAACAACCTTTCCAACAGCTCCCGCTTAATCACCCCCGTCATATCGTCCAGTCAGGCCTGTCCGGTGAGCACGTGTCGCTCAAGCCTTCTAAAAGCTACAGCTCTTCCACGAGATGATTCGGTCGTTCTCGGCGTTTGCCTTTCACGTTTAATTTTGCCCGCCGCGTCCCCGAGACAGATGGGCGGCCGTTGCGAGGCCCAGTCCACAACATTTAATTCCTTCATAAATCAAGCGTCTCCGCACGCCATGAATTATTGATAAAGTGAATTTAGAGGAAACAGCCTATTTTTATTTTCTCCTTGATGGACGTGTTTTGCAGCAGCGTGCTACGTTCACGGTCGCTGCAGCGCGGCGGTATGTCTCGTTGTCTCTCGAGCACACAAATGGGGATGAAATGACAGACATTTAGATGAGCAAAGGAAGGTGGTGGGGGGGGGCTATGGGCAAATATGCTGAAGCCATTATCTGGCTTGTTAATTTGGTTTTGCTCGTTGTTGTCAAGCAAAATAACAGAGCAGAAGTCAGATGTAAAATGACCTGCAGAATAAATAATAATAGTCGCAGCGGATCAAATTCATCAGGATTCCTTCTGCATATGTTTGAAACGATATGGGACAAATGCAGGAATATACTGGACGTGGAAATTCCCCTTCAGTTGCCCAGAGACCTTCCCAGGGATTTCAGTTTTTTTGGTGTGGCGTATTTACTCTGCACGCTTGTGTACCCTGATAAAATGCAGATACACACATGACCCGAGCGCACATCAAAGCCTGCTCTGTCCATCTGCTCCTGTTCAGGGCCCCAAACAGTGTTAAAGGAGGGCAGAGGAAGGAGAAGCGTGGGGGGAAAGTCCACTTAGCTATGCAGATATGTTTATCCCATGGTTACGTTAGCTGCAGTCCCCGAGAGACATCATTAGCTTATCACGTTTCTCCCTGCATGAATTTACATCTGGACACCGAAAGGCACTTCAAAGGTGGCA